GAAGCCAACATCCACAAAGCCCACACCAGTTGAGCCCACACCAATCGAAGATTTGAAGCAGCCCACCAACACTACCGGTAGTGAAGCTGAAACCTCATCCCCTTCTTCCGCCGACTCAGGCTATATATCCTCTTGGCTTCCCACTTTTGGTGCTTCGAAGCGCACACAGATTTGGATTTATGCATCCCTGGCTATGATCATTACCTTCTTCATTGGATTGGGTGTCTACTTCCAGCTGCAGAGAATCAAGCGTCGTCGCACCACTGCTCACGACGATTATGAGTTTGAAATGATTGAGGATGAGGATGAGATGCAACCGATGACTGGAGCATCTGGTCGAACCCAGCGTCGTGGTGGTGAACTGTATAATGCGTTCGCTGGAGAGAGTGACGAGGAAATGTTCAGTGATGATGATGAGCCGTATCGTGATGGGTTGGCCAATGCCCAGGAAAAGGACGGACAAGATGGAACGTCCCATGGTGGCCCCCATCATGAAAACCCCTAATCTAATGTCGAGATTCACTTTGCATCTTGTTCGGTGTTGTTGATTGCTATATTGACTTGGTTGTTGAATTGGACAGTATCGGTCACTAGGAATAGACGGGGCAGGGATACTAGGGTTTGTCTGTATATCTACCGTTCGACATGAATTCAAAAGCGTGCTGTGCATACTACAAAGATTTTTCTATCAAAATTGAAGCAATCCTCAAAGGATTTATTAGAATAGTTGGTCGCTCATGCGGCCTTTGTCCTTGAGAATGATCTATCTAAGCCGGAACGATATCGGAGACGTTATATGTAAGAACACTCACGATGTGTTTTTTTTTAGTTTTTTTTAGTTTTTTTTTTTTAGATATATGTGAAAGTTATAAAAAGCATGAACTATGCAGATGACCTTCCTACATAATGTATGACCTTTCACAATCCAATCTTTGCCAGGGACCGTGTTAATTCTAATAATAAAGCGATGATGACGTTCCGCTTCGGGAACTCCGCCTTAGGGAACGGCGATCATTGAACTCAGCTCCAACCTCCAAACTTCCCCCTCCATTCCATCTCTTTGACCTTTTTAGTCCCTATTCCTCCTTGATCAAACATTTCCTGCAAATATTGATTTCTTGGCATTACTGGGGTTCCAACAACTATCAGCCGGTTGACCACGGCCGACCGACAACCCCACGATGGATCAACATGATGACTTTGATAGTGTGTCTTGGAAGCACGACCCAGACAGTGACGTCTCACGGCCAACAACTGCAAGTACAGATGCTGCAGAACCCAGTGAACCTCACCATGACTCCAATGGCAAGCGGAGAATGAGCTCCGCCCAAGAAGAGCCCCAGGCTGGCCCGCTAGCTGACGCCGTCGACCTGGCGGGCATCGGCGATGGAGTTCTCGAGTGCCAAGTTGACTCCCCGCTCAAAGAAAATGACGGGACAAAAGATGCATATATCTCGTACCTGGTTACCACACATGTATGCTTTCTTCTTTGCATATACCGTCGGGGAGTTGGGGTGCAACTGCTGCCTTGACCTCTCGATATCTGTATCTTCTCAAAAGGACCATAACTGACATATGTAGACCGACTTCAAATCATTCCAAAAACCCGAATTTACTGTTCGGAGGCGTTTCACCGACTTCTACTTCCTATACAAGACGCTCTATCGCGAATACCCGGCATGCGCGGTGCCGCCGCTCCCGGACAAGCACAAGATGGAGTACGTGCGGGGAGACCGGTTCGGCCCGGAGTTCACAACGCGACGAGCTTGGTCGCTGCATCGATTCTTGAAACGTTTGACGCTTCACCCTGTGCTTCGGCGGGCGCCTCTTCTCACTATCTTCTTGGAATCCCCGGACTGGAATGCGCATATGCGCCTACACTCAACACGGGTATCAACAAATACCGGGTCGGATGGTGCAGCTACTGGTATCTTCGATAACTTTACTGATTCCTTTGTCAACGCCTTCTCTAAAGTGCACAAGCCGGACCGGCGCTTTATCGAGGTGCGAGAGAAGGCTGATAAGCTCGACGAAGACCTGTCACATGTGGAGAAGACCGTGGCACGGGTTGCGCGGCGTGAATCCGATCTGGAGACAGACTATTCAGAGCTAGCGACACAGTTCCGCAAACTCGTCCCGTTAGAGCCTGCTATTGAGATGCCACTGCAGGTCTTCGCAGCTTCAGTGGAAGAGACCGCGCGCGGGATGCGCGGCTTGAAGGACCACACCGACCAGAACTATTTGGGATCGCTGCGCGATGCTGAGTCGTACATTATGTCCCTCAAGTCCCTGCTGAAGACACGCGAACAGAAACAGCTCGATTTTGAAGCCTTGGTCGATTATCGCAATAAAGCCGTGACTGAACGTGACTCTCTGGCTGCCAACCCAGCTGCTTACTACGCCTCAAACCCGCTCACCTCCTCCCCAGCATCTTTCATCCGCTCTAAAATGGAGGACATGCGCGGCGTCGACCACGAACAGTCCCGCCGCGAGCGTATACGAAAGCTTGAGCTCCGCATTGACGAATTGACCCGCGAGGTCGAGTCTGCCAAGACTACATCCGAGATGTTCGACGAGGAGGTCATCCGCGAAGTCGCAGATTTCGAACGTATCAAGGCGGTCGAGTTCAGAGATGGACTTGGTTCCTTTGCCGATGCACACATCGAGTTCTACCAAGGCGTGCTCTCTACATGGGAACGGTTTGTAGCAGAGATGGAGGGTGAAGCTGAGCCCGGGCATGACTCTGATGCGGCTGCTATCGGAGCCATTTAGCTATTTCAGTCTGAGCAGGCTTGAATTATTACCCGGGCCGAGTCTGTTATGGCAGTTCATGTCTGTTGCTTTCGCTAGCTTATTCCGCGTTTCATACCCGCAATACCATCATAACTCTTCATTTATTCAGATATGCAGTCACTCAGGGAATCAAATTCATAGCAAATGAAGTAGAAATTTCGATGACCTAAACTTGCATGTGTTAAAAAGGTTGAGAGCTATTAAAAAGAAGAGATAGATTCACATCAGCAGCGTGAACATAACCCCGGAGCTGTATGCATAGTTAATATTGTTTGTACTGTTTGCACTGCATGTCCATCTTCGATCATCCGATTCAACTTCCTATGGATCACCAAACACAATGCGTCCAATCTCCAGAGCTGTCCTTCGGCCGTATGTGTGCCCAACCTGCCGGCATGGAATTACCGCCGGTCGGCGCCGATTTGGGTCTAAATCAGATTCCCCTGAGCTCTTCGATGTGGTTTGTGTTGGAGGCGGGCCCGCGGGCCTAGGGCTATTGGCCGCACTTCGTATGTATAACACAACACAGATAACCAGGGCATATACTGATACAATGTTACTACAGGAGCATCACCTATCACCTCAAAGCTCAAAGTTGCCCTCATTGAGAGCCAAGATCTCCACAAAGCCAAAGCCTGGGACCTCGAACCGAACCAGTTCTCCAACAGAGTCAGCAGCTTGACCCCGTCGACCGTGTCATTCCTGCGTAGCATTGGCGCGTACGATCAGCTCGATGTCAATCGCGTGCAAGAATACCAAGACATGCAGGTCTGGGACGGCCAAACCGGATCCCGAATATCATTCGATTGGTCAATGGAGACATCCCCATTCGAAGAAATGCGCACTGTAGCAACAATGACCGAGAACGCGAATCTGGTACGTGCCCTACTGCGCCGAATCGCCGACTCAGGAGACGAGAACCTCTCCCTCTTCTCAAACTCCACAGTCGCTTCCATCGAAAACGGCTCAGACCTCAAACCCGAAGGTCCCGACCTCTCAGCCTGGCCAGTCGTCACCGTCAAGCCCACAGGCCCAGCTGCAGAAACAGAGACACCAAAGCGCATCGCCGCCCGTCTCCTCGTCGGCGCAGACGGAATCAACAGCCCCGTCCGCTCCTTCGCAGATATCCCCACCCAAGGCTGGGACTACGGCCGTCACGGCATCGTCGCATCCCTCGCTCTCGCAGACCCAGCAACCCAACCCTTCCCGGCCTCAAAGCGTACAGCCTACCAACGCTTCCTCCCCGCTCTCGGCGGGCCAATCGCCCTCCTCCCCCTGCCAAATAACCACGCCACCCTCGTCTGGTCAACAACACCCGAGAACGCAGCTTACCTAAAGTCCCTCCCAACCCCGGCCTTCCTCGCCATGGTCAACGCAGCCTTCCGTCTTGACATGACAGATCTAACCTACATGATGGGCATGCAATCATCTTCCTCTTCCTCTTCTGATTCAACCCACTCCCACCAAGACGAACTCACCTGGCGCGTCCAGCACACCCAGCTCCCATCCCAAATCCCTCCCCCAGCAACAGCCGTGCAGACAGGAACAGTCGCTTCCTTCCCCCTGCGCTTCAGACACGCAGCGCAGTACGTCTCGCCGCGTATTGCGCTCGTCGGCGACGCAGCGCATGTCATCCACCCGCTCGCTGGACAGGGTCTTAACCTAGGCTTGGCGGATGTTGCTTCGCTATCGAAGACTATCCAGTATGCTGTCTCGCATGGTATGGATTTAGGTGACCTGCTTACTCTCGAGCGATACTCGTCTGAACGGTACTTGCCCAATGCGAAGATCGGAGGTGCTTGCGATCTGCTGCATAAAATGTATAATGTTCCTGGTGAAGGGCCTATTACTTGGGCACGCAGTATTGGACTAGGTGTTGTTGATCGGTTGCCTTTTGTTAAGTCGTTCTTGATGAAGAATGCTGAGGGGTATTAGAGTGGTGTTGAGGGCGTGTGTGTATATGTATGGTCTTTTGTCTTCTGTGTATTGTACTTCTAGTCGTTTTTTATAGGCAAGCCTTTTCTATACTACGTTGTGATGTGCTTTCTTCATTCAAACATGACTTGAATCGTCTTGAAAGAGTCATTTATATGCTATGTGGACATACAATACAACCTGTGTCAAACCAACGCGAAGGGAAATGCAATGAATTGGGTATTTTGGTAATTCCTCTAAAGACATCAACCCTCGTTTTTGAAAAAAATATCTTTAGTTCTTTTTCTCTCAACAATAACCCCCCCCAAGTCCTTTTGATAGGCCGTCGAGCTCCAAGCCCGACAATGCAAGAGATCTACATAATTTTAGGGTAACATAGCAACCCCTCTGAAAAACACGCTCTAAAAGGAAAACAAAATGAAAAATGCACACCTACAACTGCTTAATCACTTAAACGCTGGTGCCCTGCAACTGCTGTGCCAGAGAGGAGACAACACCTTGCTGCTTCTTGGCAAGACGGGTTTGAAGCTCGGGAACCAGGGAGGAAAGCTCAACCTCGACACCCTCCTTCTCGGGGTGTCCCTCGGGCAGACCCATCTCCTTGATACGGCACTTGCCGGCAGCGAGCTCTTCCTCGCCCAGGATAATACCGAAGGGAATGGAGCCTTGTTCAGCGGCCTTGAACTGCTGGGGCAGCTTGGGCTTCAACTTGTAGGAGAACTCAGCCTGAAGACATGCATGTTAGTGATTATTCAAATAGATTATTATCAATGCAAGTGGAAGGTTTACCTTGATACCAGCGCTCCACAGCTTCTGGCAGATGTCCATACGCTCCTTCAACATTCCGCCGAAGCCCTTACCACCGAAGGCCATGACGTAGGCATCGACCTCACTGCTGCGAAGGGCATCGGCCTTCTGCTCGCGCTCAATGCGTGCCTTGGTGATGGAGAAGATACGGTCGACACCGAATGAGATTCCGACACAGGGGATCTGCGCTCTGGGCTGGAACATGCTGACCAGGTTATCGTAGCGACCACCGGCAGCGACACTGCCAACACCGAGAGTGGGGTCGTTGGATCGGTCCTCATCCTCGGAGGGCTGCTTGGACTTGCCCTTCTTGGCCTTCGCGGCCTTCTGTGCCTCTGGGGCATCGGCCTGGACACCAGCCGAACCCTCGGTGACAACCTCGTAGATGACACCGGTGTAGTAATCCAGACCACGGGCAAGGGACATATCGAATGAGATCTTATCCAACACGCCGAATGCGTCGAGATAATCCATCATCAAAGCCATTTCCTCGAGACCAGCCTTGGCGGAGGCATTGGCGTTGAGGGCCTCATCCTTCAAGAGAGAGTCGAGCAGCTCGCGCGAGCCCTTGTTCATAACGTATTTCTCAATACGATCCGCAACCTCAGGGTCAAGACCCTTATCGTCGACCATTTCCTTGCGCACATCCGCCCACGGCATCTTGTCCAACTTATCGACCGCACTGGAGATAGGTCGGAGCTTGTCCTCGGGCACACCACAGACGGCAAAGACACCGTCCAGGATCTTGCGGTGGTTAAGCTTGATAGTGTAACGGCCGCTCCAGCCGAGCTCCTCGAAGACCTCGCTGACGATACGCAGGATCTCGGCATCGGGAACCATAGCGTCGAAGGTACCGGCGATATCGAAGTCACACTGGTAGAACTCACGCATGCGGCCCTTGTTGATGGCGGGCTGGTCGCGGCGGTAGACCTTGGCAATGTGGTAGCGCTTGATGCTGGTGATGTGGCTGTTCATGGCGAGCCAGCGCGCAAAGGGCACTGTCAAGTCGTAGCGCAGGGAGCAGATCTCGCCACCTTGGTCCTTCAGGTCGTAGATGAGCTTGGAGTCCTCGCCATATTTGCCAGCCAGGATCTCGCGCAGCTCGAAGACGGGGGTGTCTAGTGCGGTACCGCCGTGGCGCTTGAAGACGTTGGAGATGGTGGTGAAAATGCGGTCTCGGAGGAGGGCATCGGCGCCGGACCAATCCTTGGTGCCCTTGGGGGTCTTGAGGTTGAATGTTGTACCCTTGTCTTTCCCCATTGTGATTGTGATTATTTGAGCGGAGCGATGGGAGGAGGAAAACTGGCGAGTGCGGCGGGGATAAATTATTTGGTGGGGGATGGTGGGGGCAGGGATATTATTTTTATTCGAGGTGACTCGACGGTTCTGCAGGGAAGGGCAATGAGTCAGGCAAGAAATGGGAGTCCGACCAAATGGATTGGCGATTGCTCGTTGTGCGGAGCGCAAAGGAATAGGAATAGACGGCATAAAAAAGAACGAAGAACGGGCGCTGCAAAACAAAATTATTTGGGTTCATCCCGGACATCTCCTCTGGTCTCCTGAGGCATCGGCTGGTTCGGGGATTCTTTCTGTTTGAGGGTTATTCTTCCGGTGAGTTTATCCGGAATCAAGCCCTTCCAATGTTCCATAAACTCATCTCTGTCTTTCTTTCTTTCTTACAAGAAAGGGGTATGATGATGATGTGTCAAAGAATCCCCTAGGAGTATGCAAATTCCCCCTTCTGTGACCTGTCATATCTCTTTACTACCTTTGTATCTATGCCTACTATGTACAGAGTACAAAGTAGCCTACTCACAAACCAGACTCTGTAAAAACAAAGACATTGAATGCAAATTCTACGGAGTATACCTGTTAAGAGATATTAAGCCTTAAGGCGTTGTAGGCGAGTTCTAGACTTCCCCGGATCTGCTTGCAATTTGGGCTTGGAAATAAAACCCGAGGTCTTTGATGCGGGAGGTGCTTTTTCCTCTTTGGGACGGGGGGCCTAGGCACATTCCAGTACATATGTAGTCATCTAGTCATTCTCGTACAGCCCTTGAAGTATATGCGGTACGGAGTACATAGTACATTGTACATACGTATGTTGTAGAATGATAGAATGATAGAATTGTAGAAATAGTTATGACATCGCCAAAATAAATCGCTCAATTCGGGGAGAAACCGATCTACTCCACAGTTGATAGCGTCATTTGATCAGAACTGATTAAACCGATTAAACCGATTAGACTGATTAGACTAATTACAGTACGGTGTGGATTGCTTTCCTATCTCAGTGTCGGCAAACCCAACTGCGTCTTTTTTAACCGCCATACCCCTTGAAAGAGGTGAACTTTGTATCGCCACCCCCACCATGCACCCCGTATAGCTTTGGTAACGGAGTCTCGCATCACCTGTTTAATTTGCCTTTTTTTTAATGATGTGGTCAGATCATTTCGATCAGACGTTGAAGCGCAGGCAGACTCAGAATTAGCCAGAGTGCCCCATCGCGGGAACGTGCGTTGTGGTACCGAAAGAATGACTTGGTATTGCTGCCGCCTATTGGATCCCCGCAAGGGGCAGGTTTAAATCGGTTTAAATCGGGTTAGATAGGTTTAAATAGGTTTAAATGATTTAAATTGTATTATACTATTGGATGGAAGAATAGGCTGACGTTAGCCCTGGGCACGGAAGCCTCCCATGGGAAGCCAAATGGCTTCTAGATGGCTCCCCCTCACACATTTCAAAAGAGTTCAGAGGGCATGTAAGGAACAGTCACATTTCAACTTTGGAAATGGGGGGTCCACCGCCACCTTTCTATTCTCCACGACAACGATGATCATTGGACGCTGTGGCTACGCCATGCGAGGGGCGGACACGGGCGGACATATGGCCCGTGAGCGAGGGCGGCTTAGAGCCAATCACCAAGACGGAGTTCTTGGTTGAATGAGAGAGGACTCCTCTCTCTTCCATGGACGTGGGGGGAGGAGAGCCACTCCGCTGGGGAAAAGCGCTGTAGCCAATGGGTATATGATGGGGCTCCGGTATAGCCGGTGTTTCTATTTTCTATGTTACTAAAAGGAAAAATGTTCAAGTGAGTTATAAGTGTTGTAAAGAGTAGAAATTCGGCGATTGGACCAGTACCTGCCTTAGGTCTCCACGTGGAGTAGAGGAGGCTAAGATGAATGGGGTCAAGATTATGGCTTGGAAGGTAAGGTTGTAAGAGTCAAAGTAGTTTGGAGTTGCTTTTTCTGGATGATTCGGTTGCATTTGTATTACTTTTTCTATACTCTGTGTATGTTATAACATATATAACACATATAATATATGTATGTATGTTATTACTTTGTATATTAAAATAATTGGGTCCATTCCAGACAATCCAGACACTCCAGATCCCCTCAGTCAAATAATTACCTCTTCTATCTCTTAACTTCTGTAATCTCTCTTTCTTAATCTCTTTAATCTATTTACCCTTCTTAACTCTTCCCTCAATCCTCACCTCCCTCCCCCTCCAATACTCCGTACTAAACCTATTAAAACACAATATTACCCCATAACTCGGACTTCATTCTCTCCCGCCCCCCCTCTCATTTCCACCGGACCCCAGAAACCTTATGTGATCAAAACGACACTCACCTTATTTCCCCGGACGCGCTTCATTTCCTTCTTTCTCCCCTTCTACATATGCCGATCACTTGCTGTGATCTCTAACCTCCGAACACTGAGCCTCATCAATGCAGAGTGCGACCGGCCATTAAGCCAACATGAAGTCCCTCTTCTCCAAGGGCTCAAAGAATGGGGTGAGTGACAAGACATCCCTCCTTACCATGCTCTCTCAGCCTGGTAGCACAGCAGATGCGTCGGGCACCTCTCGTGAGACCATTCGGATTGGGACCGCCACTGACTTGCACTTCTTTGCGCAGGCTGCCAACCCCCCGGCTACGGCGCCACCCGTGAAAAAAGAACTCCAGGTACCGCAGATTTCGCCACTAGAAAAGAGGTTACAGGACATGGGATCCATCCGTGGTGATGGGAGTGACAAGTTCTACGGAATGGAAAATGTGAGTTCTCGGACTGACTCGGAGTCTGTTGGGATCGCAAAGTCACTAACCGCGATCTCCCACGCTTGTCTAGTATGGAAACACCTGTTACTGCAACTCCATCCTGCAATGTCTCTACTACTCGGTCCCCTTCCGGGAAGCCGTCATCAACTACCCCCAACGCACACCTATGGACAACCTCGAGGCTGCGCTCGCAAAGAACCTACGTTATCAGAACCCGAATGCACACCTCGAAGCCGAGGCACTAGCTGCCAAACAAAAGGCTTCCTCCCCACCATCCGCGCGCCAGGCCGGTGTGCCCCCAAATCCCAACCAGAAACCGGAGGATAAGGACTCGCCCGAATACAAGAAGAAGGTAGCACTGCAGACCCTTCCGATTCTGGAAACCAAGAACAATGCGACCAGTTATGGGATGTCCGAGTCCCTTTTCACTTCGCTCAAGGATATCTTCGAATCGGTGGTGGCCAGCCAAGCGCGCATTGGTATCGTTCGCCCACAACAGTTCCTGGACGTCCTACGACGAGAACATGAAATGTTTCGGACCGCCATGCACCAGGATGCGCACGAGTTTTTGAATTTGCTCCTCAATGAGGTGGTGGCCAATGTCGAAACGGAGGCTACGAAGCAATCATTCACAGAGAAGGCGTTGCCACCAACGGAAAGTGCGGATTCCCTGGGAATGATGCCGTCGAGCACGGGTTCGAAGTCACCAAACACTACGAGGTGGGTTCACGAGCTGTTCGAGGGGACTCTGACGTCCGAGACCAAGTGTCTCACTTGTGAAAAGGTCTCGCAGCGAGATGAGGTGTTTTTGGATCTATCGGTAGATCTCGAGCAGCATTCGTCCGTGACCTCTTGTCTCCGAAAGTTTTCAGCGGAGGAGATGCTTTGTGAGCGCAACAAGTTCCACTGCGACAACTGCGGTGGACTGCAAGAAGCGGAGAAGCGGATGAAGATCAAGCGTTTGCCCCGTGTGCTGGCTTTGCATTTGAAGCGTTTCAAATATACAGAGGACTTGCAGCGACTGCAGAAGCTGTTCCATCGTGTCGTCTACCCCTACCATCTTCGCCTGTTTAACACCACAGACGATGCCGAAGATCCAGACCGGCTTTATGAATTGTATGCAGTGGTTGTTCACATTGGCGGAGGACCGTATCACGGCCACTACGTTGCTATCATCAAGACCGAAGACCGTGGTTGGCTGCTGTTTGACGACGAGCTCGTGGAACCGGTTGACAAAAGTTACGTGCGCAACTTCTTTGGAGATCGACCTGGATTAGCGTGTGCCTATGTTCTATTCTACCAAGAGACAACTCCCGAGGCTGTCATGCGAGAGCAGGCGCAAGAGAACCAAGCTTCCACGGCCGCAGCAGCTGAAACAAGCGAAGCCGGAAAGTCGAATGGATCTCCCTTCTCACCACCGCTAGCCCATGCCCAAAGTGCATCACAGGTACCTCCTGAGAATACGATCCCCTTCACTCCCCTCAGCCGAATCCCAACGGCACCCCCACTCTCTACCTACCCAGAAGAACCCGTGTCGCCCAATCCAACCTCACCGCAGTCTGTTCAACCGCCTCTCCCTCCGATCCCTGACGAACCAACTCCCCCATTGAGCCCAAAGAAGAGTGATCACCAACTACGGAAGGAACGTCGGGCTATGGAGAAAGAGAAGGATAAGAACGAAAGGAATCGCATAAAAGAGCAAGAGTTGCACAACCGGGAAATGCAGCGACGAGAGGCTGAGGAGCTGAAAAGAGCCATCGAGGCCAGCAAGGCCGACACGGCTGATTTTGCCGCTGAAAATGGATCACCAAGGAAGTCGAGCAGTTTCGGCTTTTTGAAACGAGGCAGTCGCAGTATCAGTCACCGACTTAGCAAAGACAAAGAATCCCGGGTCTCAACATCGGATCTCTCGGCAGCACCGCTTCTTCCAGAAGCTATGTCAGAATCATCTTTCAAAGAGGCAGAACCGGCCCAGCCAGTCACCAAACCAGTTCAGTCACCGGTTTCTCCGAGAAACTTCCCACCTATCTCCAACCCTAAGCAACCCATCCGAACCCCCGAGCCCTTGGCCAAAGACTTGGCCAAAGACCAACACACTAATCATACGAAGCCCGGCCATACACCTCGATGGAGATCTTTCAGTTTCAAGAAAGTGGCATAAACTACAATTAGTGTTTTGTATTTGCTTCTTTAGACAGCACTTGCTTCTGTTTTTCATCTCACATCTTCAGCCCGACTTTCACGGAGATACCCACTATCATCTTGCACATATGAGCGCAAATTCTTGCTTTTGCACATAGCTTCCTTGAATGGATGTACTATCATGTTCTTATGATCTGCGCTTCTCCATCTTCCCATTCTCCTGTGGAAGTCCTCGCTCCCAACCGGGGTATTTCCGCAGCCATGTCTTCCTAGACTTTGGAT